GGGAATCATCTCCGCTCGAGGCGATCAAAAGGGCCCCCATTCATCACTTAAATTGGATTGGCAAAGGCTGAGGGATGAGAGCTTTTGTCAGAGGTGTTCAATCAGGAAGGTGGATCGGCGAACAGGAATATTGACTGGAAACAATAATTGGTGAATTCGGTGATTTGACTGCAGGAATGGAAATGATGAAATACTCCTTAAACGTCTAAAATGACCTATTTTTTTGAACAGTTTCGTTTTTTTTTCTTCTTTTTTTCTCTACTTCTGTTGGGCTTCATTCTGTATTCAAAAACACGGCATATTTTGAACAAAAGTAATTTTTGTGGAACGAACCAAAATAAAAAAATGTAATGGGGTTCTTTGTAAGTCGTTTGGGGGGCAAAGTTTTTAGTTCATCCCGTTAAGTTACTGTGTAAGGTCAAGTTTTTGTATTAGTTTGAAAATGTGCCTATAGAACTAAACTGCAGTGACGTTAGTTTCAAATAAAAGTGGTATTGAAACATAGAAAGTTTTAATTCTCATTTTTCATGATGATCTACCACGTAGTAACGACTACACCCATCAATTTATTAAATTGAAAGTATTTTTCAAAAAGAAAATTGTTCTTCACAAGCTTCCTCGACAGATAACATAACAACAAAGCGAACCGAAGAAAAATCTGGCAGTTTTGTTCAATTCAGCTATCAATGAGAAATGAAACCAATCGGGATATTTGGAAGAGAGTATTTTTTTCATTGATGATGTTATTAATTTTCTAACATCTTCCATCATTCTTAAATAAATGGAATATTGAAATTCTCTATTTTTTCCGGCGAAGATATTTCATAACCCTTTGAAAACAGCTCAAATAAAAGAAAAAAATTCCAGGTCTTGATCAAAACCACTCGTTTTCACGAGTATTTCCACCGCTAAATCAAAACTATAAATTTTCGTGCTTTGGTTTTGGATGGTGATGAATTTTCAATTTACATATATTCGCTAAAAATGAACACCATTTTTGTGTAACTAACTTATTTATAACTTTTGAATTATTTGGTAACGCAATAACTTGCCACAAATTTTAAATTATATACTTTCGAATGGCACCTCAATCATAATTTTCTGTAGAGGTGAACTTATATTTTGCGGAAAAAAATGCGAATCAACGTAATGAAACAAACGTTTATTTAAAGGAGAAAAACTCTGAAATAATTATAGAAAATACTTAACAGTTATCAAACTGATGAAAACTGATTTTTCTCAATTGCTATTTTAAAATTTTTCTGAATTCAAAAACCCAACATTTTACACAGTTTCAACCCGCATATCGATTAGACTTCCAGTAATAGGATTACCAGAAAAACATCAGTGAAACAAATCAAGTGAAGAGTTTCTCGTCAAATTCTCCAAAAGGATCAGATTACAAAACTCCCGAATCGATTCCACTCTCCACAATCCTAGAAACTAGGAGAAATCAATGCCGAACAAATTGATATTTCTGAAACACGCAATAAAAATACCGGCGCTTGCATGCAATTTTTAATTATTATCATTTTTAATTTATCACTTGAGAAATGCTGGATTTCACGAAATGAATCTTTTTTTCACGATTTGTTTAGATTTAATAGACGAACTTGTGAAACGCTACAGCAAATATTACAAAACTCCACTTAACGGCCAGCTTTCGAAGAAAAATGATATGTTTGTGAGTGTATATCGTCGATATAAATATTGGGCGTGATTTGCTATACTTGACTGTGATATAATAGTAGTAATATTACCGTTAACGGTTCTGTATTGATACGTACGTAATTTAAAAAATATTGCCAGAAAATTTTCTCTCAGTTAATCCGACTCTTCCGAAAACAGCCTCAAATGAGCGGTTCAACTAAAGGGGCGTGACGTCATCAGATATACAAAATACAAAGCCAGTTAGGAATCGCCTTTAGTTTCAAGCGTTTCTGGTTGTAATGTTTGCCATTGTATTTTGGATGTCAAAAAAATAACCAGAAAAGGTTTTGAGATTAGAAAGAATTAGCTTGTGGTAACGGACCACGATAGAGGGATAAATATAGGGTTAGCCATCGAAAATGTAAAGCAAATCATAACTACCAGGGATGACTGATACAAAAAGAAAGTCAAATTTGTTCGTGGGGAGAGGTTTTTACCTTAAAACTATTGCTAAACCTTTAAGCCCAAGCTACTTTCTTTTCG